CAAAAAAAGCTTCTATGTGACGATTTAGAAGCCGAGAGTCATCAATTTACTCCATCAATCATTCGCCATACCTCTTGTTTCTTATTGCACTAAAAGAAAATCAAGTTACTTCAAATTTAGCAAGGGAAATGATCGAGCCAGTAATGGGAAATAACTGAGATTCCAAGATAATACAAAGTCACTTTATACATATATAACTCTATGTAAAACAGATTCAGGGTTCGTCGTACTCCCCCACTTCCGCCACGAGGAGCCACGGTAATCAAAGAAACTACCGTATACCTTGCGCCAAGAGTTCGCCACTGGTTCCAACGTCCACTGCCGAATCGCCCACCTCCACCTATGCAACCGAATAGGCCACGTCCACTACCGCCCCAGCCTAAAGCGACGTGGTGGGAATATGCCAAGTATTACCAGTCTCCCCATCAGGAGTGCGTGACATGTGCCGTCATTCCTGCTGGATCTAGTGGCAAGTAATTTCAGCTGCAACATATTGTGAAGCTTTGTCCAATATCAACTTTGTCTATAAATTGCAATAAAAATAAACCTTTGGTTTAGCTCTCTGAATGTTTTACTTTTGAATAAATCAAAAAACTACATTGGCCTGGTAAGAAAGCTTGTGATTCTTTTTCAGTATTCTGAAGAGACGAGCAAAGTTAAAAGTTACATCGAATAAACCTCCATCGACAAATCTGTGGTAACATTATTACATTACCGACAACATGAACAATGACATCAAATTAATACATTTATGTTTCGTTGAATTTGAACGATGAAAGAGACAAAATCAATGAAATCTGTATCTTAGTGTCGCAGACTCAAGCATTGAAGGATAGAAAACACTTCGAAGTTCTGAAAACTTGCAACTTATGCGAGCAAATCTAGATAGTTGCGGCTGAACAACATTTCCACTGAAGCCTTTCTTGTCAACTTGAAACTTCCCATAATTTCTCACACATGTTATTGTTTTAGCACCATTGTGAAACTGGCTTATGCGATGCCCTTTGACAGTAGGTACCATATCTAAGTGAAGATTTTGTAGAGATATATTCGAAGAATATAAAGTGAGTACCCATATCTAGCATTTTGTGGCCTTATCCCAGAACTGTAGATGGTACTGTACATTGATGATTTGTTACAATTACTTGAAATTCTTTGTTAGACAAAGCAATTGGGCTGGTCTCGCTCTTATTTGATCTTACTCAAGTCTAAAACACATGGCCATCATCGAGCTGATATGCACTAAGTGGCAGCCCTTCTGACTACATCTATTCGTCTTGATGTAAAATAGTAAGATATGGTGGAAATACTCATCTTATTCCAAAGCCGAGGTTTGTTGTTGGTGTAGGTTTCGCTAATTTCAGAACTTATACTCCCCAATCAACCAACCTAAATCAAGTTACTGGATCCTAAGAGGAGTTTTACTTATAGAAAACCTGTTTTAACCGCATGTCACAACAAAGCATTCTTTTGCAAAGGGTTGATCCGAATTAATGTTGAGCACACTGATACGTGAATCTTCAAAATTGAGAAGTAGTGGCAAAACAGGTTCAGCAATAAACTGGAATGCATTTGCAGAAAGTTCCGAACGAAGGTGACAGAAAGTCCCTCGTGAAATGCTTGCGATCATCCATTCTAAGAAAAAATCAAAAGGATTCACCTTTAAAAAGGTAAACTCGTTCCGTTTATGGATCCAGATCA